GAGTTGTTGTGCATGAGTGTGTTTTTGATGGTGATTGATAGAAAGTGAATAGAGTGGATAAAGTACATGTGAAATTATCTATAGAAAAAGCAAAATAAAAATGTTTTCAACAAAAAGACTATACTGTAACACTAAGGTGGGCTTATGCTGGGGCTGTTGTGTCAGACTGAGTGTACACATGGCACAATAAGCCAATGTTTTGTCCCTGTGGCTTCAATTAAGCTTGGGCTCCTGGGCCAGATTTATATTCAGAATGTAAAAAAAACCTATCTGATGTATTCAAATGAAGTGAAAGGACACTGTAATGTACACAGGCTGCTAAGCAGACCAACCAAGGTCAAAAGCCTGAAGCGAGTATTTGGAGCTGCTTTTTTGGACTAACCTTGATCAGACAGAAGGCAAACACTTAAAGCTGACCGGCACCTTGTTTGCTTAAATTTCTCAGCTAATGACACGGCAGAGTGTCTCACAACAGCCCTAACAAAGCAGCAGTCACGGAAAAGTCAAGGAGACATTAGGAAGAAGACAGAGTGTAGAAGCAGAGAGAGGAGGAGGGAGGAGGAAGAATAACACAGAAGCTGAATGCCAGCTGTCTGGAGTTACTTACATGCAGCCATGTCATTGGGTAAGAGAGAGCATGAAATATGGACAGAGGGTTGGAGCGGAAGGGTTAATAAAAAAGACAGAGTAAGAAGACAAATTGGACAAAAGAAAGCACTGTAACAGAAATCCTACACATGAAAAGCTGTTATTTGCAACACTGTTAGTCACTGGAGAGGAGGCAGAATCGAGACAGTGGTAGGAGAGGTCTGTTGGAGGGAATATACCACAGGCATGCAGCAGTTAGACATAGTGGGTGTTACAAAGGTGCAAAATATTGGTTTCAACTGTGCAAGACATTTGTTTTACCTTTGGTACTGACAAAAGTCTGTATGGAAATGTAAATACAGTCAGTGTGTGGATAAGTCACGTTTTCTTTGAAGCTGTCAAGTGCTTTACCTGCATTGTGCTTTGCCAGGTACTTGTCTTTATACTGTTTCTTCTTCTTTCCAAACCAGGTGCAACTGGCCTGCTGCTCCTGTTTGGTCTTCTCCATGGCTATACATGCCACACGCCTGGAGACAACACAGGTACGTGAACATGTTTTGACATGACTGCAGACGATCCAAGAAAGTCCGTTGGTCAAGACTGTATGATCATTGAAAAGGATGTAGTTTGTGTGGAACTGTATTTTGATGGGTGCTTGTGGTTTGAAGCTTATTTGTAGCAGCGGGGTTAGGATGCCTGTGTAATGTGATAGAGTGTGAGGATTTAGCAGCAGCAGGTGGAATGTGTTGGCTTTAGTTTGCATGTATCCAATATGAGGTGAGAGTGCGCGCTTGTGACCTCGCACTCACCACTCTTGCAGCTCGGGCGAGGGGATGAGGCCTGCCGTGCCGTTCTTGGTGTTTTCCAGTTTTCCCTGCCACCAGTTGTGGTCGTCCTTGGAGATGATCTGAATGATGTCGCCCACTCGGAAGCGAATGCCTGCCTCCTTGCAAGGTATGAGGTCGTCTTTGGCCGGGTCGTATTCGAACTGAGCTCGTACGTAAATCTGAAAGGGTGGGAGAGAACAGAGTAAAGAATAGCACGACGGTCCTAGAATATGCAGCAACAGGAAAAAGTCTGAAGCTGTTGAAACAGCCTTGAGTTTCTGATGTGATGTTCATTATCATATTCAAAAGCAGACAAAGTCAGTGTGGGTTTGCAAATAGAACAAACACTTTATTTGGTGTGTGGTCAGACAGAGCCATTAAACATTTGCAGTGCTGGTGCAAAAAGTAAGCAACCCCTGGGATGTAAGAAGTGGCTCGAAGGCTCGAAGCAGAGTTTTTAGGTTGGTGTAAAAGTTATTGAGTGTTTGCTCTGTGCTTCTGCGGTCTTTTGTTTTGGCTTCCTTAATGCTGCTAAATTGAAGGGTTATATTTGTAATTGCAAGGCCAAAGGTGAAGGAGTCTGTATGTGTTCCAAAATGTAACTGGGATGAAGGTGTGATTGAATGTAAGCACAAGTAAATGTATGCGTGAATGGAGGTCATCTCAAGGGGTTCCTGCACTTTTTCTTGGCACTGTATGGTAAAAATGTCTAGATGAACAAGTATGAAATGTGTTAGTGATAGATGGACAGGAAAGGGAAAGTCAAGAGTGTGTGAGCAGGAAAAAGCAGAGGGCAAAAGTGATGTAAGGATGTGAATTGGCTGTGGGAGGGGTGAGCTGTCTATGTAGTGCAAAGCTTATGTGCACACACACATTCAGATATGGAGACTAAGTCTAGCGAGTGATCTAGACACCACTATGACAGGGGAGGGGTGGCACAATTTGGGATCTACTTGTACAGCGAGTCCATTTGGAGACATCTTACCTTGATGGACAATTTGTCTTTGATGGCAGATCTGGAGATCTACAGGGTTGAGAGCATCACATACACACTTACACACACATCATGCAGTGGGAAAGGGGTGTGTGTGAGGGATCTGATATGTACCATTTGATTGTTTGTTAGTGTTTACTGCAATTGATGTTTGTCTGTGTGTGTGTGTCATCACAGGTGATTTCAATGGCCAGAGTCAACGAGTGGGATGCCCCCAATTTGGTGTGCAATGAGGTCACGCCCCCCCAGGGAGGTGGGGGTGAAAGTGCATTGGCTGTGTTTGACGAGCGGGTGGCGGCACCTGGAGGAGCCGTGGGTATAAGAGCAGACTCTGCCGGAGCGACAGCGCCAGACGGGCTGCCAGCGGGAGAGGAGATGGGACCCTAGGCGTTGTGCTCTTGAGGTATGTATTTACCTTGTTTTACATTTCTTTTCCACCTGCTTCCTTTCCCCTCTGCTTCTTCACTACTTGTGCTTCTTAAGCCCTGCTCTGAGTTTTTACCAGTGCTAACTGTCTATTGCTAACAATGGTGGCTGCCATGTGCTTCACTTGTTGGCTTGTTTGTCCATGCATTGTCCATGTGTTTGTTGCTCAAGGGTCTCCAAAGTGCAGCGTTTGTGACTTAGCACTTCAACACTGCACTTTGGAGACAGTTGAGCAGTTTGTTTCAAGTTGTTTGTGTTTGTTGCTCAAGTGTTTGTCACTCAGTTGAAGTACAAGTGTTGTGGGGATGCAGCAGCCAGTCAGTGAGGTAAAAGTGGCTGTATGTGTCTACTTGAAAAGACCACTGACTGGCTATTTCATCACTCACAACACTTGTGCTTCAACTGAGTGACAAAGACTTGAGCAACAAACACAAACAACTTGAAACAAACTGCTCAACTGTCTCCAAAGTGCAGTGTTGAAGTGCTAAGTCACAAACTTTGCACTTTGGAGACCCTGGAGAAACAAGCACATGGACAATGCATGGACAAACAAGCCAACAAGTGAAGCACATGGCAGCCACCATTGTTAGCAATAGGCAGTTAGCGCTGGCAAGAAATCAGAGTGGGATTTAAGAAGCACAAGTAGTGAAGAAGCAGAGGGGAAAGGAAGCAGGTGGAAAAGAAATGTAAAACAAGGTAAAATACCTGTGTAGGGAGAGTGAGACTTGAGGTGACAGAGACAACGAGTAATGCGAGTGTGAGGTCATGGGCCTTTGTAAAATGTGGCTTGAAATGTGGGTTGACTTGTCCTTGATGTGTGTGTATGTGGCACCCTAAGTACCTCCTAGCCCCACCCCCCTACATAAATGTAGAAGTCTAACTGGTTGTAAGTTATAAATAATATAATGTAAACTTTTGCTGAAGTAAGGAAACACTCATGAAAAAAAATAAAAATAAAAAATAAAAAAAAATGAAAAAAAGGTGATGTTCGACTCTTTTTTTTTTTTTTTTTTTAATTTACTTAAAAAAAGAAAAGTACTTTAAAAAAAAAAAAAATTGAATACTTATAATAATATAAACTACTTATATTATATATATATATATATATATATATATATATATATATATATATATATATATATATATTATATTATATATATATATTATATATATTATATATATATATATATATATATATATATATATATATATATATATATATATATATATATATATATATATATATATATATATATATATATATATATATATATATATATATATATATATATATATATATATATATATATATATAAGTCGAACGGAAAAAAAAAAAACGCCCCCAAAAAACTCAAAGTGCTACAGTCCCAAAAAAACCTAAGTCGAACGCCCCACCAAAAAAAAAAAAAGAAAAAAAAACTTTAAAACTTTCTCGGGTTCCTATCCACCCTCCTACCTACTCTACCTACCTACTCTACTTCTTGCACCTCTGGTGGTGTCCGCACACCACCCTTGCAGGTGCACCGTTGTGACTGGTTTCCGTGAACACACTGTGGGGGTGGCCAGACCCCACAGGGAACCCGTACATCAGTCACTTCCCTACACTCCCTGCCTGACTCTACCTACCTACTCTATCTATCTACCTACCTACCTACTCTACCTACTCTACCTATCTATCTACCTACCTACCTACCTACTACCTATCTCTACCTACCTACCTATCTCTACCTACCTACTCTACCTACCTACTACCTACCTACCTACCTACCTACCTACCTATCTATCTACCTACCTACCTACTCTACCTACCTACCTACCTACCTACTCACTCTACCCACTCCCCCCCGAGAAAGTCAGCCCGTGACGTGTGGTTTTGAACTGTGACCGGTGAGCTCTGCCGATCACTGGGCTTGGAATACCCGCTTCTCTGCCACTGTGCCACAACCCTGGGCTTGCTGGCTTTCCGTTTTTCGCTCCTATTTAACCTTCACTTTACACCAAATGCAACACAGAAAAGCACAACACCCACATGGGGTTTCGAACCACCGACCACCAGGTCCCCAACCGGGAAGCCTACCCACTCTGCCACCGCCGTCTTAAACGTTCAGTGTTTTCGGTCCTACTTATCCTCCACATTACACCAAACGCGCCACAGAAAAGCAGAACGCCCGCATGGGGATTTGAACCACTGACCACCAGGTCCCCGACCGGGGAGCCTACCCACTGTGCCACTGCCAGCTCTACATTACTCTGCGTTGGACCTTCTACTGATTCCTGCCTTTCACATGACAAAAAAACATTTCACATGACCACACTCCATTAGACGCACAACACCAAAACTCTACACCATCAAATACAACATTTTAATACAGTAGGTAACAAGCATTTCAAAGACAAAAATGGTTTGCTTTGACAAACACGTTTCACCCATAACATACATGATAACAATAGCAAAGACTACACTGCTAACAAATGGAAAGGAGGCAAAGGGGTGAGGTTCAAACTTCAATCTCACCCGTGTACTGCCAATTGAGCTCACCAAACAGGGACTGTCAGCCACTCACAAATACATTCAATACCTAACTAGTATGAAAACCAAATTGAGGACATCCAACCAGTCTAAATGTGTGTATACCATGTGCTTGCAGGTGTGCAGGACTCCTTTTCAGTATGGAGACAAAGGAAAGCCACACAATGGGAATGGAGAAACACATGCAGATTTGTGTTTTCTTGCAACTGACATGTAGGTGGCACACTGAAAATGGACAAATGTTATGGCAGCAAAAACCCCATCTCACCTGACGCCCTTTAGGCTGAATTGTTGACGGCAGGTCCTGGAAGGAATGGTGTGGAAAGTCAACCCAAGTATATATTTGCTGGGACTGTCAATGCAACATTATCTAACATGTCATTTCTTGTGTGTTTCACACTCAACACATGTACCAAGATGGAGCTGGTGACACTGGCATGGCCGTTAGCGGGTGACTGTCGGGACAGGTCCGGCGACTCTTTCTGGAAAACAAAACATAGACTTCTCTCACACTCTGTGTACAGTGACCGCCAAGGAAAATGTCACAATTAGACAGCACTAACCTCACAAGACATGGATTGCGATCGGTAGCTCGGGACAATTTTGAAGGTAATGCTTCCTCTCATTTCCCTCTGTGGAGACGACAAAGTAAGTTTTGCCATCATTTGCACCAGCTACACACTAACACATCCACCCAGGTCATAGTCAATCCAAATTACAACAGACTGACCAGCATCTTTTGGAGCTGCTCCACTGTCTGATTGGCCACGCTGATGCCGTTGATCTCTCGGATCTCATCTCCCACGTGCAGAGTCCCTGGAGGGGACAAACAATGAAACCACAAAAAGCTGTCAATGGGCCTGTTGGCTGATGAAAACATAAGAGCCACAGAGCTAAAAGCAGGAGCCACATTTTATCTTTCCTCCACTTCACATGCATCACTGCAATGACAGCAACATCTGACAACATTTCTTTTCCAACACTGCATAAACTCCCCCCTCTACTCTATTTTCACTCAACATCTCATCATGGAACCACAGTGAATGGACCCTCACCTTGTCGATGAATCATTCCACCGTGCATGATGCGGGCCACGATGCAGTGGTTGAGGTCATTCATTTTCAGAGTGATGCCCTTGAGGAAAGTTGATATAGCATTACAATGGAGTGACAACACTTCACACTATGATGTGCTTCAGCATGCAGCCCTGTCCCCCCCCAGCCACATAACCTTTTCTTTCATTATGATCCCATCCTAAGCCACAAGCACCTCAAAACCCAACTGCTTGGACTAAATCCACAAGTCAACAATGTGTCAACGCACCATGGGCTCATCAGTGTTCTTCTGAAACTGGACCAGACGAACCCTGGTGACATTCTCCAGGTCCATGTCTCCGTTGGTGCTGTCCGGGGAGTCTCCGTTCAGGTACGGCGAAGTGGGCGGAGGGGTCACTCTCAGTGCTTCGTCACTGTAGACCTCGTGGGCCACAACATCGTGGGTCTGCAGCAGAGCCTGCATAGAACCAAATGAATTTCATACAAGACTCTTATAAACCCACATCAAACCATCTGATTCCTCTGAATCCGGTGCAACACGTCAACAAAGACTTCTCTCTCCTCTTCTCATCTTGCTGTTTTATCATATTACCACACCCCAGTGACAAGGAAGGTTCAAGTCATTGCAAACACACATCACTGCGTGAGCAGGGATAGTAGGGCTTACAGTAATCCTCCTCTTTGGCCACTAATCGTGTCACTGACACACCGTGTGTGTTTTTACTACTAACGCATCTACTTGTACCATTTGCCTAATTCTCAAATATGTTCTTTGGAGTGCCACCATGTGTGCCAATTACACAAAGCAACAGCTGCTTACATGGCCTTCTTACTTAAGGTGAACAACTAGTGCAGCCAACAACTTCTGAATAACTATGTTTACAGAAGCATCTGCATCCACTGATCCTCAATACCCACAAATCCATAGCAACCACATATCACTGAATCTTTACCTTGTTCATGAAATCATTGCTCACACAAAAGTCAAGCCATGCTCATGCCAGACTCCTGTGCTACAGTGAAGATGGCTCAGAGAGCAGGGCAGCCTGATTGGATTACATCAAACCTTAGTTGTGTCAAAGATGCACATGCCAACATGTGCTTTCACAGGGTTTCTGCTGCTTTGACCAAGTCACATTTAAGACTTTTAAAGACCATTATGAATGCAACTTCACAGATATCACAACATATAAAAACATACAAAAGATATGCACACTCACAAAATGACTTGCAAACTTCATTGGCTGCAATACACCAGGGCTGCAGCTAACTATTATGGCCTACTGGCCACCAAGCATGTTCTTTTTTTTTTGATGACAGTTGCCCCTAAGCTATGGAACAGCTTACTACTGCATACCCAGTCATCACAGACTCCAGACATTTTCAAATCTTAAAGCTCACTTTTTCTCCCAGCCTTTCAGATCTGTGACACAAAACTTGTTTGTGTGCTCAATGTATTTTATCGTTGAAATTGTATTTCTTTCAAACATATTGTATTTTATTGCCATCTCTTTTCATGTAAAGCACCTTGGTTATTTATAAGATGCTACATATAGATACACGTGACACCGTGACCTTTACAAACCAAATGAGCTGAAAATTTAACAGATCATTTTCGCATCTGGTGAAAGCACCTTACAACAAGCCATGCTACAGCAGCAGGCTGAGCCTTCTGGAGCCACAGCTCTGCTAACATTAACCAGTCCATTCAGCCAACTTGTGATGTGATGTTAAAGCAATTTTGCTCTGGCTCAAATCTTTTACAACACAACTTTTTCTTAGAATCATAGCAGCCCTACAATATAAATTTGCTGGACTCATTTGTAGCTGTAAATACATTCAATAAAGCACAATGAAGTGTCACGGGAGCATTTCATTGAGCATTTCAGGTACTGTTACATGGGCATAAGAAAATTCAGACATTTTTTAATTATCTAAGACTTACATGATTGAATACTTCAATGATTTTCAGACTTTTTAAGGCCTAAACCTTTGATTTTCACAGTTTTGACTTTTTACAAGCCTGCAGAAACCCTGTTTTAATGCATGCTTTCATTTCTGTTTATTTCCCATCTTTTATCTTATTTCACCTCTGTAAATCCATTTGCTCACTATTTTGCTTGTGCTACATAAGTAAACATTGAGCTTGATAAGTGCCACTATGCATGCAACTACTAAACAAGCTTCCTGTAAAAACAACACACAAAAAAAACAGCCCTTTCCCAATTAATTGTTCATTCTGTGGAGCCATGAAACCAGCTTCCCTCCTTTGACACACAGGAAATACAGACTCCAACAATGCTGTACCTCTTCGTGAAATCCACCTCTGCCAATTTCTTCTGCAAATTTCTTCCAGGAATGGTATCCTCCCAAATTGTTCAGCCCGTCTCAGGTGTGTTTACGCAGCTGACGTCAACCGTCACCACCAAACTTACCGTCCCTATGCTATGTCCAGCTCTCTCTGTGTATCTCTCAGCTCGAGGGCTCGCCAAGCTCAGGTGCTAAGCAGCTTTACGACCGAGGGAGTTATGCAGATTGTCAAAACACCCTACTTCTGACACAGTAGGTCATAATCTCACACACTAATAACCATGTCTTATGTGCACAGACAGAACAACCCTACCCGCTCACTAAAACAGCAGCACTCTTGTGTTTAACATATCCCACCATAAAGTGTGGCTGTGTGAGGATCCTCCTGAGCTCCTTGGCCTCCATGTTTTCTGGGTAACAGGAGATAGTTTCCAGTACCTGGTGGAGAACAAAGCCAAGACAAACACAGTGGAATCTCAGGAGTGTACATGAAAAGTCACAGACTGCTGTCTCATAAACATTTGTAGGGGTGGCTCGTGTTCACAACTTGTGTCCTCAGCTTCAGCTGTCCCGTTGTTCATTATCAGAGTCCAATCACCAGCTTCCTCACCTCTTTGGCTCTCTGCACTCCATCACTGGGAGGGTTTCTGATCTGGGGAGACGACCTGGTGTTGATTTTGTCATAAAGCTGAAAGGACAAACAATAGCATCTACTGTAGTTACTTCATCTCTCAATCAAACACGTAACCCAACCAGTCTTTCAGCCTACATGGGTTCAAGAGGAACTATGCAGGATTTTCCCACAGCTATGCTACACTTTTACCTTCATTAAACAGCTTCAGGGTAATTGTGATGGTTACATACATGACTTGTAACATGTTACAAGCAGTACTCAAGTTGAGGGGGGATGAGGGCAGATGGCATCCCCCTGAAATAAAAACAAATCAAAATCATCCCCCCTGTAAAACTGCCATCCCACCTTTCCATCCCTCCCCTTTTTACAGTACATCTTGGAAATATAACTTCTAATTATATATAATTATTTCATCATTACAGAGTAGTACACATGTTGAGTAAAAGACATAATAACATCTGAGGGCACAGGGCCACACAAACATGATTGTTATTTTCAATTGGCTGACACCTGATGCCAGAGGGAGCTGCACCTACAGTCTATGAGCAGCACAAGCTGCAGCACAGAGCGACATCTTGAGGATTAACTGTACTACAGTGTCAGCATGGCCAAACCAGCAGCTGGACAATGCAATTTCAGGGAGTACTTTAAAAAGACAAAAATTACAGGCAAGCTGTAACTCAAGACTCAGGAACCTCAATCATTACTTT